CACCTACAACCGTTTGTAGGTCAAAAGGTGAACATCTGCCCTGCACACCCGGACGGGCGCACGTGCACACACCGGCGTGCACACTTCCAGATATGCATGCACAGATCGCTCGTACCCAAAAGCCAAGGAGGGTCTGCAGGCTGGGCGGGGTAGCTGGCAGAGAGTGGGCGGGAAGCCGGGAGGAGGAGCTGCAGCGACAGCCTCTGCCCCGCAGCTCACACGTGCCCCTCGGGGCGCTATCTCCTGCGCTTGCCCTGCTGAGCTTTGGACCCCAAGTGAGGACATGTACGGGGTTCATGGTTCTTGTACCCTGACCCCGTCGGGGTGACCCAGTAAGAGAGGTCTTTTCCTAGCTGCTCTGCGGAGTCTATGTTTGGATCGCTGAGGGAAAACGGCCCCCTGGATATGTCACTGGGCCGCGGGGCGTGGACAACCGCGAGAGGTGGGGCAAATGAAGTGTTGGAGGCGGGCAGGGCCAAGCGGGGCAAAGTTTGCGACCCTGCATGCACTCTCGAGGGACGTTCAGGTGCCCCGCGCGCACAGAGGGACGGAAGCAGGAGCGCCTGGCCCCAGCCCAAGAAGCTCAACAAGAGGCCTCGCCAAAGCTGCGCAGCCCTCTGGGCCCCATTGTTCTGACAACAACCCCCATCGCCCAGGCCTTAGGTGGCCCAGGGTGCGCCCGTAGAAGAGAAAGCAAAGCCCACCGACCTTCTTGTCTCCTCTTCCTCCCAGCTCTACCCTCCAGCGTGCGCCCTGGAGTGAAGAGAGCAGAGCGCCCTGGGCTTCTCGCGCGTGGCCTCGGGCTCTGGAGTGCCGGGAGCTGACCAAGGGGACGTCCCGGCTCAGAATGAGTGCCCAGTGGCGGCGGCGGGGGGGGGCAGTTTATATCTGTCTTGCTGTTGTTTAATGTACACACACCAGCTCTATTTACTACCAAATAAAAGAAATACATCTGTGTTGCCAACAGAAACAGCTCCCGCGCTAGCCCCGCGGTCTCCCATGGCCCAGAGGCGCTGACGGGCGCTCAGAGTCACCGAGTCTGGCACTGTGGGGACCCGAGCTCCGAATGAGGTCCCGGCCCGTAGGAGTACGGCGGTCCACAGTGGGGTGTTGGCGGGCTCTGCTAGTGTGTTCCAGGTGGTTTGTGAGGAGGCAGCACAAGGCATCCCTGCCGGAAGGGTTTCAGGCTTGCGCAGCAGAGGCAGGAAGGCCACCTCGCTCCCTGCCCCATTCTTCCCACAGTTCTCCCAGCTGCCAGGGTCTCCTCAAACAAGGTGTACCCGACTGTGCATTAGCGATGGCTGTGATGCTTAAAACATATGTGTGTGGGTGTACTGGGACCCCCTGAATACGGTGTGTGTTAGGAGGTCTAACTAAAGTGTGTGTGTGTGTGTTGAGTGTGTATCATGCAGGAGTGTATCCTACATGTTGTTTGTATGTATGTTTGTTTGAGTGATGCAGAAAAGATTCAGCCAGGAAACCAATGCCATTTGCACTGACTTGAAGATTAATTAGGGGTGCAGATAGGGAGGGATCTGAAGTTAGGGTAGGACAGGAGGCTGGGTTACACATCTGAAGGGAGGGAAGATGAAAGGATAAAACTGTGAGAATGTTATTCAGTGTCCTAGGGCAGGAGACACTGGCTTTCCATGATGGGAAGTCTTGGAGGAATTGCATGGAGGCACCCTCACTCCCCCAGATAACCCCCTCTGGTGAGTGGTTCCAGCAGCTCCCCGCAATCCCTGCAAAGGCAGCGGAGAGGGAATGTTCCTGTGTGTGTGGGGGGGGATCATCCCAGCCAGCTGTTGGGATGTGACGGTCCCATCAACTGCTTTCTTGGCCTCTTACGCTGAAGGCCTCAGAAAGACCTGCAGTGGAGCCTAGGATGCTTCGTGCGTGGGACAGCTTCGGTGATCCTGGTCCCGCACCCTGGCTCAACCCCTTCTCTTCCACTGTGAGAAACACCACCATCCTACCCGACAGGAGGGAAGCAGACGTCTTCTGCCTGAGCCAGCTTCTAGGCTCACACAAGCCGTCAGCCACAGACGGCATCCGCCCCACCCCCAGGGCGCTGCACCCGTGGCTCCTGGGAGAAATGGGTCTGCCAGGGCAGAGGGGCCTCCCCAACGGGAGGGAAAGGGAGGCTGCAGGGAGCAGGACAAAGGATAAACTGTGCGTGTGGAGAACCAGTTGTTTCTCGACTTTGTAAAGACTGGGTCAGTCAAGAACCGTTTTCTAGAATCCAAACAGAAATAAAGTATTTTCTTGGCGTTTGATAACATCGTGTCCTGGCTGTAAAATCTAAGGACGTGTTTGCTATTGCAACATTATTTTTAATGAGCTGTTATTGGCCTGTCCTGCAGTTAGTATTGCCAACAGTAAAAGGCATCACTATGTTTGCAGGTAACACAAGGAACAACATATTTTGACCCCGAATTTCTGTTTATTTTTCATTTACAACACATGCCCTCGTTTTTATTCCAAACCAGAGGGGAATAAAGGGAGATCTATCTTCACTGAGGTCCAGACTAAAAATTTTGCCATAAATACTCATGCCAGTTTATTTGGGGCAGTTTCCTATCAATAGAAAACGATAGTGGACGTTTCGGCCATAGTAGAATCAATTGCGTCGATTGGGTTTAAGAAACCTAGCAAAGCACTAGGAGAGGGACTGGAAGCGCGTGGAGGCGCTCCCCAGTGGGCGCGCCCTGCGTGTGCTCTCCGCCGTCTTCACGGTCTCCGGGTTCCTCATCTCCCCCTTCTGGCTTCCCAGCTTCAAACCGCGCCCTGTCAGGAGTTGGGCTTGCAGACCCCATGCTCTAAGGCAGGGAGCCGCGGGGATGGCGAGGGGCGCCTAAGCACCTGCTTCCGCCGGGCGGACCCGCGCTCCCCAGCCGCTCCCCGTGCGCCGCGCCTCGGCAGATGGCCCACCACCACCAGCGCGGTGGCCTGGCGCGCCGCAGGCGCGTGGGAACATCTAGCGTTGCGCTTCCAGGCGGCGGCAGGAAACCTAGAAAGGCTGCCCTTGATGTGTTGGGCGCCGGTGCGCAGTAAAGGGCCCCGCTGTTAAGAGGCAAGATCCTTTCGGTCGTCGCAGCCACAGTCGGGTGGTCTCTGTTCCCTGGCACTGGACACACCAGGACTGCACCCACCCCCGAGCTTCCCCACAGTTCCTCAAGGCCTGCGGAGGCCGCTGTGTCCCGGATCTGGGAGCCGCGGTCCCTAGGACTGGTTGGCTTTCCCGGGCTGCCCTCGCACCGCCAGGGCTCTCCCAGCTGCACTTCGCGATCCGCCTGTGGCCTCATCTCAACTCTAAGTTCACTCTCTTCTTACCTCCCCACTACCCGCGGAGCCAGCCACGCTTCAGGCCCGCTGCCGAGTGCCCAGGGATGTCCGTCCCGGAAGCTCGCGGCTCCCGAAGGAACTGTGGTCTGGGAACGGAATGCGAGGCTGCAGCCCTCAGTTCGGAAATACCAGCTGTCTCTGAGCTCGTGGCTGCCGCTTGGCTCAATTTCGCAAACTAGATAAGCCCAGGTCCTCGCCCCTTCCGCCCCGCATTCTTCCCTGCTCGCAGGGCCTTTCAAGCCCGGTAAGATACAGGGGAGAGACCGGCCCTGGTTGCGAACAAAGCCGCCTCTGTCTCCGCCGCCTCCTAGATTATAGGGATGTGTGCGTCTAGGTCGGACTCCGCGAGCGCAGAGGCAGCCAGAGCCAGGCAGGAAAGAGTCTCCCAGACACCTGCTCTGGGGGAAACCGTCCAAAGTTACACACGCTGGCAACACGAAACGCTTCGCTTTTCTTTTTAATTAATTCAATTTCACGACAACATTTAGTGTAACAATATTTTGTTTCTGTTTTTCTTTTTTTAAAAAGGGACTGAACTGGGGCAGAGGTGGGGAGATGGGTGGGGGTAGGGGGGACAAACTATCGCAGAACAACAGGTGTAGCTCACAGAAAGAAAACACATTGGATGGCAGAGCAAGGAAGCCCTACAGAATTGAGGGTGAATTTTACAAGAAATCTGTACATTTATCAAATAAGTTAAAATTCTCCTAAATTGATTGTCCTTCACTTAAAGCGCTCCAGCATCCTATCTTACTCCTTTGAGCATTGCTGCCTATCCTTGTTTCCTTCCTTCCCCCCTTTCTCCTTCTTGATTCTCCCTTCCTAAACGAATGACTGGGATTATACAGTGAAAACGTCTGCTTCTCTCCGTGGAGGAAGAGCAGAGCCCTCGGGAAATTTTGTAGAATATTGCACAGGTCAGAAGTACAACCGTTACTGCAGAACAAAAAGGTAGGGAATAAAAGGTACAGGGTGTTTTTAAATATTGAAATCACTCTCTCAAAACAGGGAATGAAGAATAATAGAAATATTATTAATAATAATTTACCAACAAGTGAAATTTCCAAAAGGCTACTAATAAATAGGACCACTCACGCTGGGCCAGATGTGGAACTGTTTCAGTAATCAGAAGTCTGATTTTTGGCTGTCTTGTCTTTTCCCTTTAAGCACTTAATTAGAGAATTTTTCCATCACAAAGCAGGACAGATGAAGAGGTCAACTGCCACAGACCTTGCCAGAGAGAAATGCAGCCTGAGCTGGGGTTCTCATGAGAGACTGCTCAGATTCTGAAAATTGGGGAGAATAACCCATTGAGGGTGGAGAGGAAGAACCACAGAAATAAAAGCACTACAGTGTGAGTAAATTCTCTCTCTCTCTCTCTCTCTCTCTCTCTCCCCCCCCCTTCTGAAAATAGTTCTATAGAAACTGAATAAGCTAGAGGGGTTCAGGTTTTTGCCCTTATTTTCCTTCTATAAAAACAAAACCAAAAAGCCACAGCGCAACGTAAATATTGGGGAAGGGTTCCTCATATTACAAAAGCTTTCGGCTGAAATATTTGACCCGGGAATTTTATCTTTTTTCTGCTCTCTCTTAATATAAACCAAAACCAAAAGTAAGAGGGGAAGCGCCTCAAATCCATTATGGGTGAATTGCACGAAAATGCATTGCAGATACTTACAAAACGCTACCATTTGGGAGAGGGGAGGCCGGGGCAGCGCGCCAAAGCCCTGGTTCCCGAAGGCCGCTGGACATCTTGGCGCCCTCGGCCCGGCCCAGTCTCCTCCAGGGTCGGGAAGGGGGCCGGGCGCTCCCTTCTCCACCCCTCTCGGGCCTCAGACGGGCCGTAGCAGCGGCACAGACGAGACCACTGGGTGCGAGTAGTAGACGGGGTGCGGGAAGGTGAGCAGAGGCTGGCTGACGGGCACCGGGGCCCCCGCGGCCGCGGCCGCCGCGCCCTCGGCCGCAGAGTTCTCGTGGTAGAGGATGGGCACCCGCACGATGCGCTGCGCCGCCGCGTGGCTCAGGTTGGCCGCCTCCAGCTCCGCCGCCAGCTGCCGCTTCCACTTGTTGCGGCGGTTCTGGAACCAGATCTTGACCTGCGTCTCGGTGAGATGCAGCGACGCGGCCAGACCAGCGCGCTCTGAGCTGCTCAAGTAGCGCTTCATGTCGAAGGTGGACTCGAGCTGGAAGACCTGGCTGCGCGAGAAGACCGTGCGCGTCTTCTTCTTGCGGCACGCGGGCTTCTTCTCCGGGCTTTCGGCGCCCTTCTTCCAGTCCTCGGCTCCCGGCGTCGCCGCCGCCGCCCCTAGGCTCGTCCCGGCCGCGCCCGGCGGCGCCTCGCCCTCCTTCTTGCCTTCTTCCGAGTCGCTCTCCTCCAGAATGATCTCGTCCGGGCTCTTGGAGTCCAGCTCCTTGTGGTCGGGGTCGGCCTTGAGCAGTGGCTCGGGGGAGTCACGGTCTGTGCCCGAAGCAGGGGAGGAGTCTCGCAGGAGGGCCTTCTCCGATGCTGGGGAGAGACAGACAGACGGACGCACACACACGCACACCGACACAGCCTTCAGCGAGGCCCGCGCCTGGGGGCTGCAGGCTCGGTCCGCACCTGCCTCAGGGCCCCAGGCCTCGAGGCCTCACCATTCCTGCTGGCCTCCTGCCCGGCTCAGCCATAACAGGGGCGTCGAGTCCTGGGATCCCCACTCCTCCCAAAGACAGGAAACAGAGCTCCCTTTCTTTCCTTCAGCATGCCCACCTGGGGCCCACGGAGAGATTCGCCTCTGGCTTGCGCCCGCCCAGGTCACTTCCTCCATCCAGGCCTAGTCCCCAGTCCCAGCCGCCAGTATTATCCTCCCCATTCATGCCTGAGGCCACTTTCCCCGGAAGCTCCTGCGCCCCGGGCTCCAACTCCACTTTTCTCACCAAGTGGGACTGGATTCCCAGGCAGCGCAACCGAGCGCACAGCCCGGAGATGCAAAGCCAGGGGCCGGAGAAAGTTGGTCAAACTACGGGTTGGAGGATGCGGGGGTCCCAGGGCTGCGGTGGGAGGCAGCGCTGGGCGGGGATGGGACACGCAGGCGGGGAGGACACGAAAGTTTAAAGAGAGGTCGGTACCTTCAGGTCGCGGGAGGTGGCCGCTGGCAGGGGTCAGGGTGTAGGGGTACCACCAGGCCGGGGAGCGCTCCAGGTAGTGCGCGGGCAGGGCAAACCTCTGTGCCGGGATCTCAAAGCGGGGGAAAGCCAGGTCGCCCACCTGCGAGAGCGCGAAGCCCGCGGCGCCCTCCAGGGCCCCCTTGGCCGCCGCGGCAGCGGCGGCGGCGGCGGCGGCGGCTGAGGCCGGAGCGAAGAGCGTCCGTGGGGGCGGCTGCGGCTTAGGGGGAGGCCGGTGGTGATCTCCGTTGAGCAGGTTCTTGATGGAGAACGGGGACTCCTTGGGCGCGGGAGGTGGCTGCGCGCTAGCAGTGCCGGGGGCGTCCGGCCCGGGCTCCGGCATGGTCCCCTCTCCTCCGGGTCCCCGGGAGGGCGGGAGCGGGACAGGCGGGCGGCCGGGCGAGCAGGCGGGCGGCCGGAAATCAGACCATAAACGGAACTCAACTACGGGGCGCAAAGTCGGGGGCCGCCCGGGGCGCAAATCCAGCGGCAGGAGGGCGGGGTGAGGACCCGGCTGGGGCGGGTTCGCATGGGGGAGGGGTGCTGAGGGGCGGGGAGCGGCCCTGCCGCTTCACCAAGGGAGCAAGGCGGCTCGGCGGCGGCTGCTGCTCCCGGGGAGGAGGCGGCAGGAGCGGTCCCCGGCTTGGGGCTGCGTCAATCCGGCGCCGGATGCTAATGATGAAATCAAAATGTCATCCAAGTTAAACGCGGGGAGTATACGGCGATTGGGCGCGTACAATGGCAAATGGGATTAGGCAGGCGAAGGCACGGCCGAGCCCGGGCCCCGCAGCCGCCTCCGCCACCGCCCCCTCCTCGCCTTCCCTTGGATTTTGGCGCTTTGGCTTCGGGCTATAAGAGCCCGCCTGTTATTGGCTTTATATAGTCCAATTAGGCAGCAAATGAGGACAAGCCTATTAGCACAAAAGGATATTGGCTCCCACTAAAGAGGCACTCGGAGCGCTCCGGCGAGCGCCGGAGGCGAGCGAGGGACGTGGAGCCGGTGGCGCCCCGGCCCCGGAGCGCACTGACAGCCGCAGCGCTGGGAGCCTGCGCCTCCCTCCTCCCCCCCTGCCCCCCCGCAGCTCAGGGACCCGCTTCCAGCAGCCCGGCTTGCGGGAGGGGGAAGGGGCGGGCCAGGCCCGCCCGGGTCACCTCGGGGTTATCCGCGCTTGCAGCTGCCGCTCCCCCGCCCCCAGGGGCTTGGCAGGGGCCCACCGCCCCCACGCAGCTGGAGAGCCACGCAACCCCCGCCCAGGAGGCAGGACGCGATCTCCGGCCCCAGGCGTACTCACCACTTTCCTACCCTTTGGGGTCCGGCGGCCTCAGCATTTTCCCCAATGCCTGCTAAGGGCGCGGCAACGAAGAGGAGGATTTGGGTTCCCCACCCACCGTCTAGTCGATAGGAAGGGAATCCGGGTGTAAGTCCATGCACTGCGTCAGCGGGCTCAGGAATCCGCGTGGCCTTGGCCTTTGGCCCTGAGAAACTGAAGAGTGATCCTGTTCCCTGGAGCAAGAGTGGGCGCGCGTCTCTGCGCACCCGAGTGTGTGCGCAGAACGGGCTCACGCCCGCGCGTCACTCAATGGGGCTGTTGGGGCAGCGGCGTCCCGGCTCCGACGGCTACGCTCGAAAGGGCGCTCGGCTCCTCTTTTCTGGCCACCGGGGGCCTAAAGCTTGGCAGTGAACTCGGAACCCGCGGCCCCAAAGACAGCACCTTTTCCCGGGAAGTCTCTCCGGCTGACGTTTGGAGCTGGCTTTAATAGGGGCACCGCGAACCGAAGGCACAACAGCAGACCTTCCTCGGCTGTGACCGTAGCAGCGGCACTCGCAGTACGCTCCGACGGCCTCCAAGTCCGTAGAGAAACCTGCCAGACCTCTGAGGGATAGCTGCGCGGACATTCACTCTACTCCATCGGCTTTAAAAACGACTCCCCAGGTTGCACGAGAAGTCCTCAAGGCAGACATTTAAGACTCTAGATTTAAGCATCAAATAATCAGAAATGCTTGTGGGGTGCCTTGCCTCCTCAGAGAAAGGTGGCAAACTGGCCATCACTCCTTACTACCCGTTGTGAGCTTCCATCCACCCGAGGTCCTTTTGTGGTCCCTTGGCCTCCCCATCGTCTTCTTTTTCGTTAGATCGAGCCCTCACCTAACTCAAGGCCGCCCTGCATTGGCAGTTGCGACCGCTCTGGTTCCCCAGTTGAGAAGTGGGTATATTTTATTTTCTGATCCGGAGCTTCAGACCTCCCCCATCAAATCTCGATGGGCACATTTAATGCTTTTTTCCGCAAACATTCATCTACAATCGTGAACCCTATTTTTGCTTTGGGAACCTGGAAGCATTGTAAATGGTGCTTCCATATACAATTATTATTCTCATTATTATTACTCCCTTGAGTTTGTACAGGGTTTTACTGGAACGCAAAACGCTATACAGTGCCATCCAAAATCTGAGTTGGAACCCAACACAGCCCTGAGACTCCAGCAGGGTGGATCTTACGCTCGGGTTTTATAGATGGAAATGGGGTCCTGAGGAGGAGCCCGGTCCAAAGTCACCTAACTGGCGCTGGACCCTCAGAAGTCATTTTCTCCCCAACTGCAAGGAGCGCTGGATGCGCGTAGGTCTACGCAGGTTGGGGTGGACCCCCCGCACCCACCAGCCACGCGGCTGAGGATGTGGCGGAGAGGCCACTGCAAGTGCGCGCGCTTGTTGCGGGAGCTCTCCGGTCCGAGGCGGATGAGTGTAAACTTGCCCAAAGTTCTGACGCATGGAAGCCGCCTTTAAAGTGAGGCAAGCAGAAAAGCTCACCTCCCGGTAAAGGAAGCACCTGGCAGACGTCGCCGAAAGTTCTGGCTGGGGCAGTGGGATCTTGGCTGTTCGAAACTCTGGGACTAGACCCAGAGGGGAAGGGGTCCAGGCTGGCGGGACGAGAGTCCAGCACAGCCGTCCTCGCACCCTGCGGCGCCGCTACGTGAGCCTGACTCTCTTGTTCCAAGTTTTCCCAGTGTCTCTCGGCCCAGGGGGTATGCAGGTGCGTTGTTGTGTGCATGCGCGCGCGTTTTGACCAGGGAGAGGTGGCAGCACTCACAGCGCATCCTGAGATTCAGGGATGCTGGGTTTGAACAACCAGGTGCACAGAGTGAATCTCTTTTTGTCTTTCGTTTGGAGAAAGCTTTTGGGTATGCGGCTCCAGGCGCAGACACATCCCTTCACTCGCCCTCTGGCGTGGGGTGTTGCCTCAGCTTACGCTGGTCCACGACTCCATTCAAAGTCAGGCAAACAGCGCCCTCTAAGGGACATCCTCTAAACCAAAGCCGCTGGCTCAGCGGGCCAAACCACGGTGTCCGCGCAAAGCATTTAAAAGCCATCGCGGTCTTACCCTTCCGGACCTTGGCTAGAGAACAAAAACACATTTTCTCTGGATTTCGGGAGAAGCAGAAAGTGAAATCGCCTGCAGATTTCTTCTGACCTTTAGCTGGCCACCGTAAAAAGTTGTTTCGCCTGCCTCTCAATCTCCTCCCCTCCTTTCCTGCCCGTTTTAGGGTCCATTTATTGTTCCCGCTAGTAACCGATCCCTGAGATGCCCATCCTAACTGCAGGCTACATGTGAGCTCCTGGAAGGGTGGAGGGCGGAGGGCAGTGGGGCTGACTTATTCGTCTTCCCAGCACTCAGCGCACAGATGGCCGACCAGTGATGCTCAGGTAATGCCTGAGTGAATGAATGGATGGATGGATGGATGGATGGATGGATGGATGGATGGATGAATTCAGTTTCCATTGCAGAGGATTTGCCTACCTGATTAGGACCCTTCAGATAGCCTGATCATGCCCCCAATACAGATTTTTAAAAAGTTTAATGAGAACCTGAGGTCTTTTAATGACACGTTTTACCAAACGTAAAGGAGCACCAGCTACAGGACCACTAGAGGACCTTTCACAGGCTGATCCAAGGTCATGGGCTGCGCAGCAGGGTTTCTGCACCACTTCCTAGAGGGACACGGAGACCAGAGGGCAGAGGGAGCCTGTAGAATGCTAGTGATTAACACCCAACTTTTACACAAAAGAACGACGTCTGGCAAAGGAGCTCATAGAATGGAGCCCTCACCTACCTCCCCACTCCCCCCCACCTCACAACCATCGCACACCCAGAACACAGATACACACATGCACACATACAAGTCAGTAAGTAGTGAGTTCCTCAGGGGAGGGGAGCATTTCCATATTCTCTAAAACTTTCCTCCTCTCTCCCACGGAGTCCTTCTTGGAATAGCTCGGCCTGGAATGGCCCAAGTGCTTATCTGAGGAGTAGGAGGAGCTGTGAATACTTTTTGCCAAGGCTGCATAGCTCCCAGGCATGGAAGCTCCCCACCAGTAATTTAGCCAGAGTTTGCACTGGTCCTGATGGGCACATTTTAACCCTAACTCTCCTGACCTGCAGGTCCTTGATTTGTAGGCAGAATTCACAAAAGCCTAAAGGTGTGATCCTGGGGAAACTGTGCCCCAGCCTACATGTGCTCTGGTTCTCTTTGCTGCAAAATTCTCCACTGTCAGTTCCAATGCTGCCAGGAATGCTGCCAAAGACCCCTCCCTTTGGCTGATGACTGTGACTCAGAAAATGCACAGCTCTTAGAAATGGGTCATAACTATGCTGTCCTTGATCACATATGCATCCTGAGTCACCTGCAATGTTCTTGGAGTGGCTGAATGTCTAGCCCTTTCCTGAGAGTAAAGGTGATAATTATATAGAGAGGCGGTGTCAGCTAACAGTCACTGAGTCCTTATATGCCAGGCACTATAACCCTATGAGGCAGATACTATTATTATCTATTTGACAGATTAGAAAACTGAGGCACAGAGAGTATGGTAAAGGTAAGAGAGTACTAAATGCATTTAGCCTCAGAGGGCTGTTAGGCATACCCTAAGCGCTGTGTAAGTGCTGGGTCTTGCTGCTATTATTCTTCATTCACTTTTCAGGATAAATCCAGAATGGGTCAGAAATCCATTCTTGCAGGGTTTCCCTGAGAAAGCTCGCACACCTTACCAGGGAGGGTGCCCCAGGAATTGATGCTGTGGCCTTCCAAGCTAGCTCTCCCACACCCCATCCCCTTTTCTCTTCCTGGTTCTCTTGTCTTCTGAAAAAATCTTTCCCCCCAAACCAAAAATTATTTGCAGACTGCTTTCTATCTTCGGAGTTCTCACTACAGGAAAAGAAGAGCAGACTTTTGCATGTTGCTCCATTGAACCTTACGTTTATAAGTATGTGGATACTGTGTGGGCTCTGGCTGGTACTTTGCCATGACCTTCGATAAGATGCTGAACTTCTCTGTGGGTCAGCACCTTCATC